GCGGGTCACTTGCAGGACCCTGAAACCCCAGTACGCCTTATTCGGGAGGGTGGGGGGGCCTACAGAGTTACAGTAACACCACTAGCCGTGCAGAGCGCTTGCAGTGAACTGCGTCCGCCGGACCTTTGCTACGAGACGCGCTGTCTCAGTGACGAGGTCCGCCTCCGGCGTCGCCTCTTGGCAAGCCGACTCAAACAAATCAGTTAACTGTTGCATTTTACGCCGATTGGCTGGGCGGATGGACTGCAAGACGTTCACACAGCCCAGGTCCTGGACATAATGACTCGCAGGCACACACACTCATACATGCACACGTTGTCGTTGTTGTTTGCGACTCTCTGAAATTTGCCGGGTGTTGAGGTAATCAATGCAAATATGTACACATGTACGCTCATTTATACATCCACACTCTGTGTGTGTGTGTGTGTGTCTGTCTGTGCCGGGGTTTGTGCACGTGCGCATCTCTTCCTCTCTCTCCCTTTCTTTCTCCTCGTGTCAGTGTCATTCGCAGCAGTGAGAGCAATCATAGGTTGGTGGCTCTCAGCCGCCATTGCTGCTGGCATTTCTCAACCTCAAACAGGCAAGCATTGAGCCATTCGTTCCGCCACTGGCTTCCTGCGAACATTTTCTTTGTTGTTGACTGTTGAGATGCACGAAGGGAGAGGAAAAAGACTACATCGTCTTTCCGGCCGAGTGGAACTACGGAGATTTGGGTACAAGCCACAGAACGAGTGTAGCAGCAAGGTTAGCGGTTAGCGCAAGACAGTAGAAGTCCTGTCTTCCAGGTTGGCGCAAGACCATGAGTGCAGCAAAGCTTCAAACAAAGAAAGTGCTGCACTGGAACGGCAACAAAAAGCCGTGGAACACTGCCTCGCTCTGAGCAGTCTGGAAACGAGCTGGCCTGCGATCAAATGCTGCTGTCTAGCCTAGGATGGTCTTTACAGGGAGATGTGGTTACCACATCGCCAGGGCTTCTATTCTCTGCTGAAGCCGTACAGTGCAAGCGCAGACGGGGGCTCCACTCTGAAGTCGGTAGCCGAGCCAAGCCCAGACGGGGAAGCGGAGCCAGCGCAGATGGTGCTAAGGCCACCGGACGCTGGACCGACGGCACCGAAACCGAAAGCGAAAAAGAGTGGAGTGCTGAGAGACGAAGAGATCGCTTTCGAGATGTTCACCCGTCTGACTTTTCATGAGGCAGCCCCGCTGTCACCACAACCCTCAGCCCCGAAGAGCAAGCTGCCCGAGAAGCTTGTCCTTCGGTGCCGCCGTCAGCCTTGCCTCTGCAAGTGTCGCAAAAACCCATTGTGCCCCCATCTCCCCGTCACAGCTTCTAATTTGTGCAAAAGTCTTCGGCAGGTGCGGCTGCTGGATGAGTGGGTTGAAGCAGGTCCACGCCTTTGCCCTGTGGCTCTCTAAGGTACTGTAGAGCCAGCCACCGCGACTCCCGTCAATAAGATGCATGTTGGATGTGGGCTATCAACACATGACCTAGAGTAATATAGAAGATCCGGTGACTGTACGAGGTGCGAGTTGTGTGATGGGCAAGTCCTACGGCTGTCTGGATCCGCCGAAGGCGGATGGGATGTCGTGTCCTCAGCGAATATTTTGGTATTCGGTGGGTGCAGGTCTGCTCTTGCAGTCTAACTTGCCGTGAGCTTTATAGTCCACATCACGTTGGAAAATGCGTCGGCCAAGGTATGCGATGGCTGGCTGTGCCGGCCTGTTCAGCGTGTCCGCGGCCCTGGCACAGAAACGACGACACCATGAGTGTCGCAGAGTGTTGTGGTGTCGTAGGCAGGATGTTTGCTTCAGAGGTCCGGCAAAGCCACGGTTTGTGGCGTTGGACGGACGAAATGCGAGCCCGGAGCAGTTCCAAAGAGCGCTGATTGTGGGCCGGACGCCTTTGTCGGGCTTTCGAAGCTCGTGTCAGTGTGGCGCCACGGTCTTCCCCCTCGCTTGTCCTAAGGCTCATGATTTTAACAAGCTATTTTACAACCAAAAAAGATTGGCAGCGGGGCAAGTACGTCAAGCCGACATTTTCCAAAATTCAGAGTCCTGGCCGCACAGCAGAGTCAAATCGCATCATCGTTCAACTTTCGTTTGCTGCCATGTCACAGCCTGACCTCAGGAAGCTTTATCAGACGGCTGTGACCAACGGCCTCAGTGTAAGCGTTCTGTATGATGTGCTTCCGCAAGAGTTTCTTGAGACTCTGCTGCAGCTTTCGTTCAACGGCTGACCTGTGACGGTTTGTGCCGTGATGATTTGTAACACCCTGAGGATGCGTATGCCACCGAGCGCTTCCGGTTTGTGCAAGTCAATCTCACACAATTTGACAAGAGGTGCTCCTGCAACAGCCAGCTCTGCAACCCATGTCCACGTTCAACGCAATGACAGGTATGGGGTCAATGATGTGCGCTACTTCTTTTTCGAGAGGTTGGTGCAGCAAAACAGAGATTGGAAGTATATCTTTATCGTCCCATGTCGGCACGTATTTTCGAATTTCAGTTTGTTTCTGCAGTGCAGCTGGTGAGCAGCTGGCTGGCTTTTCATTCTAATAATCTAGTACTTCGGGCAATGTCATGTGCCATGCTCACGGGACAGGTTGATGCATTCGACGTGAGATCGGGCATGAATCCATGCTCTGGCATGCAGCCCGGCAAGATCTATGTCGGAGGTGAGCAAGACAGGCCTGCGGGCTCGAGAGGGTGTGGGTGTGCTTCTATGAAACTGTTCTATCCTGCTCTTCCCTTGCAGATAGGTAAGGACGCGTGAGGTTCGGCAGGATACAGAAGTCTGGGGTACGACTAGCATGATGTGTAAAATGATGTGAAAGGGCTTCTGATCTGTGCACTTCAGCTGCGAATCGCAGCGAAAGCAAAAGGTGGCTGACCTAGCAAACTTCAGCGGAGTCGTGGGTGGCCCTTGGGCCCTTGGCTTGCAGGCTGAAGAAGCACCCGTGGATGAAGGCCCGCTTCCAGAAGATGGGGGGTAAGTACAACCAGTGGTACACCACGAAGGTTACGGACAGCGCCAGCCTTGGCAGTATGTGTCCTGCCAGGGCTTCATTGACTTGATTGCATGGCCTCTAAGAACTGAAGATCCTCAACTGCGGCCTCACGGGCGGCCAGCGCGACATGATGCTGAAGCTCCTGTCTCGCATGGTGCAGGTTTTGCAGGATCCTGCGCTTGCTATCCGACAGAAGAACGAGGACATCAACCTGAGCCACGGCTTGCGCACAGGTGTGGTGGAGTCATCTCGCGTCGGCTTCTATCCTTAAGGCTTCCGTGATCTATCCCATTTCCGGGCCTTGTGATTCTTAGGGTGTTTTACAGGCTCAGCTGCGGGCAGCTGCTTTGTTCGGACACGGTACCCAGGAACATGGCAGCACTCAACTACATCCTCTATGTCGAGTTCGATGGCAAGTTCCAATACGGGCCGCCTGTCCACTCGGCGTACAAGAGGCGAGATAGCTGCGTTTTGCCATCTCCTGCATTCTTGAGGGTTTTGCATCCAGGTCCATTTACTGCTTTGTAGACATGGATCCATGCAGACTGAACAGGTTCGAAAACAAGCGGAAGGATGTCTGGTGGGTGCACAAGTGATGGCGTGGCGGAGCTTTTGCGTTCGTTTCACACCCCTGCTTGAAGAGCATGCTCAGGCAATCTTCTGCGGCCCAGAAAATCTTGCGCAAGACTGCTTTCCACCAATCCTCCACTCAGAAGTGCAGCTTCTCGAGGCGTGATAGGCCACGAGACACGTACCCCCAGCCAGACGCCGCGAGACCACCCCAACCCGAAATATGAGGACGTGCATGTTCGTCTCTATGAAGTCTTTGCCGACTCGTGCCCGCAGCTTGTTTCACTAGTCGGGCTAGGGCGGAGCCAGGGCCCATTCGCCAATGACATGTTCGGATGGATAGTGGCGCCTACAACTAGCCTCAGATAGGTTTTGCAGTGAGTCAAGAGCCACTGGACATCACTTTGGTTTTGTAGCGTCCCCACGAGTTGAATGGCTGTTGGCGCTGACCCTGCTTGTCCCAGCACCGTGTTTTTCCGCTTGGACGAGAAGCTTGGTTGAAAGCTAGACTGTCGTCCCACTCTTACGACGCTTGCTTGGGAGTCGAGACGGGCTTGCGACTGTTGTCATGTTTGGTGTGCTCAGAGGCAGGACGCCCAGCTTCCGGAAACGCGGCCAGACGGACTTATCATCAATGCTTGTGACAGTGAGTCGCAAGTTGAGCCAGACGAGTTGGAGGCCCATGCTGCCGGAAATTCCGTTCCAAATTGAAGCAACTTGCAACTAGCGCAAGCCGCCAACTTGCAGGTCCATAAAGCGAAGCTCGAGGAAGCAAAGAGTCGTCAGCAAGTGACGGACCATTCCGTCACGGAGCTGCTGGAGTTTCCTGGCAATGTTTCATTCGTGCCGAGCGCTTGCCGCATTCAGAGCACGCAGCCTAGGAAGCTGAACCAGCTTCCGGGAGTTTCAAGTCGCAAGAACATATCCTTGCAGACGCCAAATCCATCGGGCCGCGTCGAGGAACGGCATTCTGGCGTATCCGATGGGCCCACCAACGCGCTCCAGGAGGCAGCAGGACAGCAGGATGCCGAGGATGCTGATGTGCCGAAGAGAAGGAGTTGTGAATGGCAGCTGCAGTCGGGCCTGTCGGGCCTCGCGAGCTTGCCGGGTTTGGTGCAAGAAGAAAGCATCGAAAGCCCCTCTCGCCGATTTCAGCGAGCAGCTCGCCAAGTAGTACGAGGACCAAAGTGTTACCAAATGTATGCAGCAATGCAGGCTGTTCGTTGGCTATGACTGGGTTTCTTTACTCATGTCCTGTGCTTCGCAGGAAATAGACAAGGCACCAGCTCCAAGGCAGCCGGGACCAACATTGGCGCTAATGCTCAGTAGGTGCCATTAGTCCTGCAAACCCTTCTTTCACAATTGCAGGCTGGAAAGGGCCAAGCTCCCTGCTTCGCGGCCGTCGTGGCCGCTGCTGTGGCAGCCAGGAATGCCCAACAAGCTGGTGCTCAAGTTTTCCACACGCCGAGGGAAAAGACAGAAGAAGCCGAGACATTGAAGGCGAGCAGAGAAGATCTTGGCTCTCACGCCGGGAATGTCACGAGCGCAAGCTTGGAATTCCACACTCCGAGGGGCTCCCTGACGCCCGTTACCACCCCTCGCGCATGTGGGGGACCTCAGGCGAGGGGTTGTCTTGGAGGCGGCTTGACAAGCCCCATCCGTAGCGCACCCCGCAGCGCCTCGCCCTCTGTGAGAGCTGCGTCTCCGGAGTGGACGCAGAGCTGCTTGGCAGGTCAGAACGTGCGGCCTGCAAGGGTTTTCCAGCGCATTCTAACGCATTCGCTCAGGAGGTTTAGCAGACCGGAGCTTGTCTCCAAGGAGCCGCAAGCCGCAGCGCCATTGAAGTAGCGAGATTCCTTTCACCAATTTGTGCGTGCTTTCAAAGGACGCCCCGAGCTTCATCATTGAGTGGCAGTCCAGCAAATGGATCGCTGCTGGCACGAGCCTCAGGGCTTTGCAATGCTTTGCAACTCGACTGGGATGTTCGACTCTGACTCCGGTCCAGAGCATTTGGCCCAAAAACCTCGCCGTGGGTAGCCGTGGCCCGAGCCCGCCGATCCCGTCCCTGGAAGTGCCCTACTCGTCCTTCGCGATGCCAAGGGAGCAAAAGGACTCGGCCCAAGCCGAGATCGAAGTTTTCTCCAAGTCGCTCGACGCTTGGGTGCCTGGAAGGGTGTGGCTCTTTGCTTCAGCAGGGAAGATTACAGTCACGTACACAGTCAACGGGCACAGATGCCGAAAGCATCTTGACCCGTGGACGCAGAAGATTCGTGCTGTTGGGGAGAAGGACCCCGATTGTGCTTCGCTTGACATGGAGGACATGCAGCAGGAAGTGGAAGTTGTGGGTGACATGCTGCCGAGTTGGGGCGTGGAGGCTGACCCGGACTTCAGTTTCACTCACCTTTGGGATGCGCTCTTCTGTGAGATGCCGATGAACGCAACTTTAAAGAACGCCATGCAGGCGGCGGCCCAGAAGCAGGAGCAATACTGCAGCGCCCGAACACATGAGGCCTCGGCAGCCTACGCAGAGGCCCAGCTCGCCGAAGCGGAGGAGTGCTATGCAGAGTCCGGCGAGCTTTTCGAGGAGTGAGGTAGGTGTGCGTGTGCGCGCTCTGCTTGAACATGTAGGCGTAGGCCCCAGTGCAACCAGTCCAGCTCTCTGAGCCTTGCTACGCTGGCAAGGACATGCAGGATGCGGACTTCCAGCAGAGCATCGGCGGCTTCATCCGACTGGTGTTGCACATGGAGGCTCCAAGCCTCAGGCTTTGGTCTGAGAGGCCCATGGCGCTTGACGTGGTTCAGGGTCGCGAATCTCCCAATTGCGGGCTTCTTGTGGCCATGGCAGCCATCGCGGACCATCATGATGGCTACTTGGTGCGTCAGCTCTTCCCGCAATTTCAAGATGTTGAGGGCCATGAGGATCCCCCCTTGAACCCATCTGGCTGCTACGTGGTCTCCCTGTTCCTGCACACGAAGAATTCGAACCTTGATAGATTCAAGAAGCATCACCCGAGCTTAAAGAGTGGCCAGGACAGGATCATACTGGACACCACGTCAAGATCGGAGACGCTGACTAAAGGCTCCTGGCGCAGCATCGTGGTCGACGATCGGCTTCCCATAGACAGCATGGGAAGGCTGGAGAATTGCCAGTTTTCCAAGAACAAGGTGTGGCCGTGCCTTCTTGAGAAGGCCTTCGCAAAGGTATGTGGAAGCTATGCCGACACCTCTTACGTCAAATTGGCCGATGCGCTGGTCATGTTGACAGGCCAGAGCACTTTCCAAATTGATCTCACGGAGCTTTTCCCCAAAGAGAAGCGCCAGCTTTGGAAGGATTTGAGCGAGTACCAGAGATCAGGCATCTTGATGACGGCAGCCATCTACGATCTCTCGCCGTCATTCTTTGGTGACACTGGCTCCATGACTAAGACTGGCCTGCAGAGAAATCATGCCTACACCGTTCTGGAAACCATGTCAATCATACTGGACTTGACTGGTGAAGTGTTGTCGCTGGTTAAGCTTCGCGATCCCCATGGTCGGACGAATTACACGGGGCCCTGGTGTCCGCGCTGCCCTAGGTGGACCCCCACGCTGAAGCAGAAGATACATGGATCTGACCGCGGTGTTTTTTGCATGACCTGGCAGGACTTCTTGACAACTTTCCATGAAATAAATATCTGCAAGGTAGGTGACCGATTCTAGCTCTCGAATTCATGTCAAAGCTTAAATTCGGTGCAGTCTCTTCAGCACTGTTTTGCGGGCTTGGCCCGCCAACTTTTTTCAAACTCTCCGTGTGGAGACTTGTTCTTGGCTGAATGCCGGCTGTGCGCTTTGGCAGGGCCACTTGGAATTCACGGAAGCAAAGGACAGCTGCAATTCGAAAAGCTCCTGCAGCAAGCATGGGAAAAGAGATGCACACACACACACACAGACACGCACATGATGCCGGTTGCAAGCGCCGCACACCCTGTAGGCTGCATCCACCAATCTGTCACCGCAGGTGCGAGGACGTCGACAAGGCCGTCGAATGAGTTTCAAGACAGCGTTTGGTAGCAGCGCTTCTGGCACATTCCCCTGCGATGCCACATCGGCACAGGCATTTCAGAAGAAGCGCCTGTGGAGGAAGCATGGCATGGATGGACGTTGCAGTGCACGCGAACGGCTGAGTTTCGTCTTTGAGGCTCCGTTGTTGCACTGCAGCTGCGTGATGCCCAGCACCACTTCCCAGGCCAGGTGGACGTTTCTTCCATCACCACATGGCCTCGGGCACCACCCAGTGGGAGCCGGCCCTACTCAGAAAAGCACATCGGAATAGAGATGGACAAGTTGCAGATGCCTTGCGTGCATTCAAGGAGACACCTCCGGAGCTGATAGACGTGCTGGGAGAGTGGCAGGAGGCGCTGGCACGGCGAATCTCACTCAGCATTTCTCGAGCACCACCAGCCACCCTGATGTTTGGAGTAAGCCACCGACCTAGCAGAGCTTTTTTAAGATGTTGACGTTTTCTTTCGCTGGCTTGTTGAAGAGTCGCGAGCTGTGCCATGTGTGGTATGTGCAGTATGTTCGCGAGGGCAGGGTTTACATTGGCTTTGTTTGTTTGGAGTATGTTGGAGTATAGCCAATAGTAACAGCCTGTGTGCCGTGAGATCCACGGTCGTGGAGTCTTGTAGTCTTTGGCCCTTGATGCTCGCGACTGGTTGTTTTTTTGGGTCGGTCGCCTATGTCTTACCTATGCTGTGTGTAAAGCCTTGCCTGCCTTGTGTGAGCGTGAGAATCCCAATGAACTGCTGACAGCTGCAAACCTTCGAAATTATTCGCAATCCGGAGGGAAAGGCGTGTTGCCCTTCGCCTGTCGGCTGTTGCAGGTGGGAGATCCAGGTGCCAGGTACTGGCACAATGCCAAGCTGGAAACCAGCTGCTGGAAGGACCCACGCAACTGCAGCAGCATACACGAGGCACGGACACAAGCGAACGGTCTGGGACCATCTGAGACCCCTGCGACCGCTTGCAAAAGCCGTGGGTAGGCTGCCCTGGACGGAAACATGGCCTACTTGCTCCTTTATGCTATGGCCAAGGGCTTCGTCGATGCCGTGAATCTCAAGGCTGGGAAGACAGGAAATGCATCGATAGAGATCACGGAGCCTCACAGGGCCGGTCAGCCCTCCACAACGCCGCAGCGGCACACGCCCCAGCACCCGTGATGTGCACCTGCAAGACGAGAGCCGTCTGCCGTGTGCCGTAAAGGCTGGGCAGGACGAGGCAAGTGCCAAGAGCTCGGGAGCATCTAGTAGAATGCCTCAGCTGAAGGGCCGGATGTGATGTGTGAGCCGTGCAAGGCATGCAGTTTGTTCTTCCGTGGTGCAGGTTATAGTTCACCTGCTTCACCAGAAGGCCCAAAATTCATAGCCGGCTTCTTAAGCTACGACCTCGAAGCTGCTGAAGCTCCTCAATTCCCTCAGTGCGCGTGTTTCGGAGGCGGATGTGAACTTGCCAGACCAGGGCCTCTCCACGCCGTTACACTGGGCCTGCCGCTACGGCCACCAGACGGCGGTGCAGCTTCTCTTACAGGCCGCCCTCAAAGTTTCAGGCCAAGGCGGATTGGAGGCACGTTGCCCAAAGTCCAGCAGGCTGGCGCAAATGTGGACGGCGGCAACATGTCCGTGACCTGGGAGAGCTTGGAAGCTTTTCAAGGGATGTTCTGCAGCCTGAGGTTGGGCGATACACCTTTGCACGAGGCCGCCGGTCTGGGTCAGGCGCATTGCCATGATACGGGCAGTAATGGGCATTTCCCAATACACGATTCGGCGATTTCACTGCGAGGTCAGTGTCCTCCCGGTGCTGACTGCCGCGTATGCCAACCCGTGGGCCCGCAACGCCGAGCACGGGGCCCCGGTGCCCCAGAGAGGTCCAGACACCAAGAAAAAAGTCGGCTCGGTGAGACCTCTCGCTTGCCGAAGGAAGCGCACAGCCGCAGAAGTTGCCGGAGTACGCGGCTGGGCCCAGGCAGGACGGGTGTTCATGCAAATGCTGCAGTATCTTTTTAAGGGCAGCAGTCGAGTCGCTTGTAAAACAGTGATCAAATAGCACACACACACACACACATATATATATATATATGTATGTATACATAGATATAGATAAGATATATAGATATAGATAGAACGATATAGATATTTAGATACAGATATATAGATGTAGACATAAAGATATAGATATAGGTATGTATATACATAGATTCATAGATGCACACACACACACACATACATACATACATACATACATACATACATACATATATATATATATATGTATGTGTGAAAGGCTCTGCTTGTGGTGTTTTGAGGTGTTTGTTCTAGGCGGAATCCAGAGCAGGTCTTTGTTACGATGAGTTCTGTGGGAAACGTGTGTGTGTGTGTGGAAGCAAGTGAAGAATTACACATAGAAATATGTGGACAAATATGTGTGTACACATAATGCAGCGCTAGCTTGTTTGTACACCCGGTGGTGCATCGGCAGTGCCATCGGCAGAAACTTACGGTGGACATGGCCATGCCTAGTCAAGCTCCCCTTTTCTGTGGCCCTCTACCACAAAATTCCGCAGTATCTCTTACAAAGAGAGCGAGGAATATGTTGAATTGAGTCAAGGGCCAACAGCTCAAACAGGAAGAAGTCGTAAACAATGGTAAACGAGAGGCGAGAGCCATAACAAACGGGAGAGCGTCGGTGGGGACGACGGCCTAACCCCACAGGCACGTGCTATGTGCGGAAGCCCAGCAGATGATGGGGACAGGCTAAATTAGCTTTGCCAGCTGCAGTTTCGATTGGCTTGATTGCTGGGATGTCCGAATTTTATAACTTAACTTTCTGAGGTTGATGGACTACGAGCGCATGTGGGCGGACCGTGAAGACCCAGCCGAACACCGAGTCCTCAAGCATGGTCTTCCGCATTTGCCCGTCAACCCAGCCAGGACTCTCATCAGGTGCAGGCCCAACCACTCGGAGGTGGGTGAGATGCTCAGATTCTAGATTCAATCGGGATGGGCAGCGCAGAAGAAACTGGGTAAGTTCTGGCTTGCCTGCTTTGTTCCAGGTATCGGCCTGGTCTTGCGAGGGGCCTGGCACAGCTGCCACAACTTGGATGCCAGCCTTTGTGCCGCGATGCATCTTACAGTTCGTTGAGAAGTCAAGAATCAAGAAGCGATTGGAGTTAGAGCAAGGGGAATCTCATGAATTGTTGCCGCCTGCTGGCCATTTGTGGTTCTCGAGAGGATTAGGTCCACAGGCACCCCGCCATGCCACTCGTCCGAAGCCCAGGGATCGAGTCGCCGAGCGCGCAAAAGGAGTCCGCCCGCCTCTTTGAACTCGCGCTTGCTGTTTCAGGTTGGAATACGCCGGCATGACATACAGGATGACGGAGTACGGCGTTTGTTGAGATGGAGGACACCGGGGATAAAGCCAGAGGTGGGAGGTGGCCTAGCATGTTCTTGCTGCGAACTGCAGGATACTCATCATCTCGTGGGGCTCTGAGACTCAAGTTGGGAAGTCGAGTCCGAGAGGCTGTCGACAACTTAGGATTTGCACTGGCCTTATGGCTGCGAGCTGCTTCCTCCTGGGCTCGCTCTTCGGGTCGCTCAGGGAGGAGCATGGATGGGCACCGCAAGTTCTGGACTTCACGCTGCCCGGCAGCGAAGTGCACGGGATGCCTTGCGTAATTCATGTCGATGTGTTGCTTCGGAAGCGCCGAGGAACTTTCTGGGCATCCTTGTGCTGCAGCTCGACTGCAGATCGGGTCGCAGAGCTTTTCTTTCCGCTTGTGGGGCCGCGTGGTTCTGGCACTCTCGGAATCAAGGTTCATAGGCATGGCGGGCGCTGGATGCGTGACCTTGAGGCTTACGTCTTCCGACGAGGAAGTGATGTCACAACCCCGCCAATGCGTGAATTGCTTCAAATTCCATCTGAGTTGGCAGGACTCTGCGCTATCAGAGACTCAACTGCGTGTGTGGGCCAGCATGCCCTTTTGTGCCTTCGCTTCAAGCAAATGTCAGCTTTAGGTGCCCATATGGCAAAGGGCAAGCGCTCTCCACGAAAAGGTGCCCACATGGAACACTCGGTGTTCCCGTGGCCTTCAGTAAACATGTTCCGAGCCCATGCCTCTCGCTCCTTCGTTGAGTACTGCTCCTACTCGTCCTGCTGCTGCTAGTGCGATTCCCACTACCGCTACAACTGCAGCTGCTACATGCGGGAGCCAAAAAACAACAACTACTAGTACTGGTACTACGACTGCTACTGCTACTGCTACTGCTAACTGCTACTGCTACTGCTACTGCTACTGCGAGTGCGAGTGCGAGTGCGAG